AAGAAACATGACAAAAATAGAGCATTTCTAACTCATTTCTTCTCTCTCTATGACTCCAACCTTCTTTTTTTTTTTCAGCATTTGCCTAAAAAACATTCTAAAAGGAGCAAAACACATTGTAGATTATACTCTCCACTAACTGTTGTTTCTGCAAGAGCTGAAAATTACCTGTATCATGATCAGCTCCAAGCTTTATAGATATAATGCCTGTAATCCATTCACTATTGCTTCATTACAGTAAAACACCACCTACCCAAAGAAAACATGGGAAAGAGGTGGAAAGAAGGGACAACAAAAAGAGGAAATTCATTATTTGAATGGTGGTTGATAAATAAGAGTAATTTTTTTAAGGTCTGATTCAATAGAAGGGACTGAAAATGCTGGGGAGAGAGACCAACCTTTTTCATTGCACCAACCAAAAGAAAACAAGAAGGAGGAAGAATGGATGCTATTACACACTTTAAATTAAACAGGAGATTTAGAGAGAAACATGATCTTTAGCCCCATTAGCACAGAACACAGAGTAAACTGTTCTTCAGCTTGTTCCACACCACCCGATGCATTGATCTTTCTGCTATTGCAGTGATAGAGCAGAGATAAAGGAAATATTTGCAAGAGGAAACCACATCAATCTCATTTGGTTTGCATTTCAAGATGAATCAAATTTGTCACATGCAGCACAGTTTCCTGAACCTGTTGATAAAGCTTTGGGATGTTTCAAGCACAGGCTAGAAGATGTCCCTGGAGAAGTTAGCAGAGGGAAGGAAAAACCCAGAGACACTTCAAAAATCAAGGTAGGAGGCAGGCTCCCTTCAACCATTGGAGCAGGGCAACTGCAGGGCAGAAACCTCTGCCCTTATTTCTGTCTTCTTGAGATGTTCACCTGTCGACTTTGCTCGCAAGTCATAGCTCAAAGTCTCACAGAATGATGAGGATGTGAGGATGTCTGAGGACCACAGGGTTTGGAAAATAAAGCCAGAGTAGTCTGGAGATTGTTTTGGTCCCCCATAATACAAACACAAATTCCATTTGCACCATTTCAAACCGCCCTCCACCAACCCCCCCCAAAAAATTATGAGACTCTCTGTAGTTCCTGTCATTTCAGTTTACTTGTCTGGGAGATTTTTCCCACGTGGTTTCCCTCTCTTTTTTCTCTTACTGCCTCACTGCCATAAGCCCCAGCAGCTCTCCCCATCAGGCATTGTTTTCTCCCCAAATTATTTGTGTTATCTTCTCTCAGAAGACTCTGCAGAAGACCCTTATCACCAAAGTCACCCCATCTATATCCTGTGGTGATACCTGCTTGTGCTGGGAGTCTCCACCACATCTGCCACTCCAAGTGATATACAATATCTCTCAGGGATATCTTTTTGCACCGTTATGTGCATTTTGCTCTCTTTCTCAATTTTCTGGCACTGTCTGCCTAGGCTTCAAGCAGTGTTTGAGGACCTGGCACCCAAGAGTAATCAGATGAGCCAGGACTTTGTCCATCCTTCAAATCACTGCATTGTGACATGGTTGCAGCTAACTCCTTCACAGCTGGCCACATCTGGTTTGGTAAGTGTGGAGTGTCCCATGGCAACTGGAAATGCATTTTTAACCTGTCATGTGCACCCGAGGAAGGCTATGATTGGTAGCAAAGACACAAATCTAGTCTGGGGAAATGCCAAGAGCAACGTCCTATTTGAGTTCAGCTAAAATCACAGTTCCTGAGATCTGCAGAGCCACAGATCCTGAGATGTGATGAGTGCTGAGATGGGAAAGGAAACACAGCTGACCTGGTGACCAGGACAACTTCACTATTCAGCTCACCACCTGTGTCAGCAGCAGTGTGTGAAGCATCATCCCAGCAACAAACTTCCCTCAACAACAGCAGCAGAAACAGAAGAAGAGTGGCTAGAGCAAAGTTCTTGGAACACTTGTTCTTCATGCATTTTTTTAAAAAACAAGAGGCTATAATCAGACCTAGAGGAAATGGAGCATAAATATCAAACTTTGTTTAGGCTGGGAAAATATAATTTATAATTGAAGATGGGCACCTTGTTGACAAGATATGACTTATTTTAATAGTGAGGTGAGCACATGGTCAGCTTCTAATCTTTTGCAAGTTATTAAAACCAGCCAGTTCTCTTCCTGACTGTTTTGTTGGGGGAGTTTTATTTTTTTTTTAGTGCAATTTCTAAAAAAGCAACTGGGCTAACGTCAACTCAAGATAATGATGCTTTTACTGGCAGTGATGTCTTGGAGCATCTCGGTAGCCGGAAATTTTTCTTTCTGTTCATACACTGCTGCTTGTCTCCACGCCAGCCCCACTAACCAAGCCTGTTCCCCTCTCCCATGGAAGAGTGGGAATCCTGTGACAGCTAGAAAGGAAGGAGAGAGCCCAGGGTTGACTTTGTGCCACCAGAACTGACCTGTGGCTTTTTTTTTTTTCCAGGTGGGGTTTGCCACATCCTGCTGTCTTAGTATGGAGGCGTGTAGGATTTGTGCATGGCAGATAGCAGCAGAGATTATCTCAGGACTGGTGCTTGTAAGCAGTTTTGGTGGCAAGATCCTACAAGTTTTCAGGGAGTGGTGTCCCTCCTGGTATCCTCAGGTTCTTTCATGGGACATGCTTGGGTGCATCGATGCTCTCAGATAAGCCAGCTCCCCAGAGTCAATCCCACTGAGGGTTAGCTCTCCCAAGGGCACCCTTTCCCACAAAACCAGCTTGGTCCCTCCAAGCTGGCTGTAGTTCTGTGGCTTCCTTCAGGGCCTGCATCAGGTTTGGTTGCTTCTGCTCCACACAGTCCTCCCACACTATTCCAACAGCAGATTTGGACGCTGTCCCCACAATATTCAAGGTATTCTGAAAGAAAGCTAGCAGTGAAACAACAAATTCAGGGCTGTAGGGGAACCATCTAGAGACATATCTGAGTTCTACACACTGGGAATACTCAGCTTGCTCTAGAGAAGGGAAGGGTCTGCATGGATCCAGCCAGGGATCACTCCCTGGGAGAGATCCCTTTACTGGGAGAGATGTAACTGAAGAAGGATCAGCACTCTGGTGTCATAGGGTAACAACCATTGGTTGACCCAAGTTTCTGCAGCCCACACACCAGAGATAGATATCTAACAACAGCAGTATCTGGGTGAATGATTTCTTCTGCTTCCATATAAGTCTGAAACTCATTGTTAGGAGACTTCCAATCCTTTCTGTGACAGGCCATTTTCCTTTAGCTAGCCATGGATAATACCTTTAACCACCTGGATAATACAACTGGCCCCATATCTCTGAGCAGCACGAATGCAGCCATCCTCCAGGCTTGGCTGCTGTGACATGGAGCTGGCCAGCAAGTTGCCCTGGTCTGATTACAGGAGGGGAGACAATATCTCCTTGATGACATCTCTCTGTCAGTCCCAGCCACATAAGAGCATGGACCATGAGGGGAGGCACAGCTTCAGTGGGAGATGGACATGGACACATCAGTGTCAAGCTGATGCCAAACCAAATAGCACTGCCATTGTCATGAGGCACGGCGCCACAAGATAGAGCCACAGGGGCTCCTACTTTAGGCACAGCACAGGGTTGTGGGGGCTTTCAGATCACATGCTCACTCCTTGATACTGTGCTGTATTTTTTGGACCACCTATGTCCCATAGAAGTGCTATTCTGAGGTCCTCAATAAAGGATTTGGAGCTGCTGTACACAAGCAAACTCCTCCAGATCCACTTCTGTTGCTAGGACAAGTCAATGAGAAACAGTTCCCCTACTAATTGTTAAATCATTTGGCCTTTAAAAAGTATGTATAATACAGCTATACACGTTCATTATCATGCATGATATAATTAAGAGCATGTATCACTATTGCTTTCTTCTTTGCCATAGCGTACACATTACTTTTAAATTGATTATCCTTGTTACGTTCTTATTGCGGTAACACATGCAAAATGTACTCTGCAACATTTGACACACCACATCTTTCATATCTGTAGACATTCTCATTTTGAATCTCCCAGTACGGTGCAGATCTGAAGTTACCTTGTCAGGAGCTGGCGTGCTAAAGAGAATGAACAGTAACCTGTGGCAGAGGAGCTGGCACATGCTTAGCAGAATCTACAAAGCTATTAAAGGACAGGGGTTTTATCCGATTTTAATAAACACATCCAGGAAGGTTGGACAGAATTGATGCTGCCCAGTAGAAGGGAGCCAGTAGTCCCCTTTCTTTTTTTTGGCCCATCCAAAATCTTTGTCCATAATGGCAGATGTCAGTGCAAAGAGGGGAAAACACACAATGCTGAAGGCAAAACTCTCCTCCAAGCAGAAAGTCACTCAATTGAGATACTCTTCATGCATCCAGGGAAGAAGATTTGCAGTGATCCCTGGGATGCTTGCTTTGGTCTCTGATGCTTGTGGGAACTCCCTGGTGGGGTGGCCCAGGCAGGGCTGTGCCCTGGCTGGTGAGCCCAACACTCAGTTTGGTCCTGAGACACCCACTGTGGAGCTGGCCAAACTCTCTCAGAGGTTTGCACTGCTGCAAATTATCATGCAGATGCCAATGCATCCCTGGTACCAGGGCACATCTAAGCAGAAAAAGACAACACAGGCAATGCTCAGGTACCCCACTGGTTTACACAACTTCATTGCTTCTGAAATAAAAGAGAGCTTCACATCCAAGGAAAAGAAAGCAAAATCCATCCCACTGCCCTTTCTGGAAGGCATTTACATTATTTCCCATTCAAGCATTAAATTGAATTTATGCTTTCCCCCAAGGATGTGTTTGGCCATCCCACTGCTGTGCCCCAGAGACACAATTGAGTTGTTGGGAAACCAAACGTAAGTGTTGTCCCTACTTCCCTCCCATATACCAATTTCCTATGCCGCCCATTCTGCACGGACTTGGAGTTTTGGGTTTGTAGCTAGCTCAGCTTCCCTGATTCACTCCATGCCCCGGGAATCTGCAAGCTGACAGCTGTGGGACAGGCAGGGATGACTTCAGAAACAAGCACGTGTCTGCAAAGCCTGCAGAGGGGATCTTTTTGTGGAATTTACAGACTGTTTCATGTGTCAATATGAGAGGAGCGTAATTACCAGCTGAGAAACTGCAGGAAATAAGCCAAGACTGAATGAGCGAAATGGAAAATAAAGAGAAGCGCAGAGGACACACACATTTTAAAACAATTACGGAGGTATGTATTCACATGCTTGTGGGAGCCTGGGAATACATAAGAGATCGTGACTGCAAAGGAATGAATTCACAGACCAGTCTATGGGGAGTATTTTTTCCCTGTGACTTCAAACTTCTCTCGGAGCTCACAGAGTTTTAGTCAGCTGGCATGCAATAGAGGTACGACTTCCCTAAGGAAACTCTTCCTCGACTTGCCCTGGAAAAGCTGCTGGGAGAGTCCGTGAGACAGAAGGCTGCAAGCAGAGGTGAATCCTGCTCCTCCTTCTCCTCCAGCCACAGAGCAGGTATGTGGAGATGCTTGCGGACCTGGGAGCATGCCGGAAAGTTGAGCTTTTGACTGCAGGAGAAATGGGGGCTCTGGAGACTTAGAGCTACAGCCTTTAAAAGGAGGAAGATACTGTATAAATAAAATACACAGTGTTTATGGATAGGCTGAGGAACTGGCTAAACACAATGTGTAAATGGCTCTATCCACACAGCTGTGTATTTAACCCATCGGGGGCTTGCGCTGCAGCGAGTCAGATCCCTCATGTTAAGGAGGCACCGATTAGTTCACAACAATGCAGCTGTCACACGCCAGGTTTGTTATTGTTCTCTGCGCTTACAGTAGTGAAAGATGGGGACGTGTCTGGGTATTTTTTTCTTTCTTTACAGGACTTTAGTCTGTTCGTGGAATTGCTGCATTGTAGCGCTCTGAACCAGGAGCGCTGCAGAGATCAGCCTTGTACACTGATTAAATGCCACTCAGCCAGCTCCCCGACACTGAGTCTTGACACAGCCTTGGGCAAATCACACAGCCCCCGGGTAAAATGGGCAAAAAGGCTGTTTGGCTCCTCTGTCTCCTTACCATCGGCACTGTCATTGAGCTCTCCCTGCTGGAGCACGAGGTGTGAGATGGCAGCATTACTGTGCTACTCCTAAGATCCTGGCAGCTTGAATGTCACCTTGGGTGAACAATGACTTACTGAGAGGGTTTTGCTGCATCTGGATTGCTACCACAGGAATTAATGCTTTGACAGTATTTGGAACTGATAAAGTTTTAGAAAATCCTTATTTATATAAAAGTCACAGGTAAATTTATAAAGCCTGTGGTATTTTGATAAAAGTATATTTTTTATAAAAGTGCAAATATGTTTCCTTAAATAGAGTCAAAAGTTAGGTTTTCCACAACAGTAGAAATTTGTTTGTGGTTTGTTGCTTTTTTTTTACTAAGATGCAATCATTTCAACTTTAAAATCAACTTGTTACTCTAAAGTGCTGAAATCCTTTGATTTTCAGTGATAGAAATTCACAGCAAGTAATCTCTTTTTAAAGCAGGTATTTTCATGTCGGTGATTGTATCACTGCTTTGCTTTTTACTAATATAATGATAGATGGATTCAAGGGGGGTATCACTATCATGAAATCAGATCTATTAGAAATAACTATCCTTACCTCATTTTTCCTCCTGTTGGATCACATAAGTTGAATAGATCTTTTCCCAGATGCTGATTCCACTATCAATGTAAATAAATTGCTGAATTAAAAGCCTGTTTTTTTCTCTTTTTGCTGCACTAAAATAATATGAGAAATTATTATGTTTTAGTTCCTGAATTTGAGTTTTCCTGGGAACTGTGTTTTCCAGGGAGATAGTTTGTTTTCATGGTCAGAGAGTTTAATCTGCAAATCATTTTCTGCTGATATAAGTGTTTTCATTTTCCCATCTCCTACTGTCCCTTCACCCAGCCCCTTCTCTCAGCAAGTCTCCAGCCCGGTGAATTTCATGCTATTGTCATTTTATTTTCTTTTTCCTTCCTGTAGAGAGAGAGGAGTAGGGGGGAAAAAAAGGTGACTAAAATAGGGAATCTGGCTAAACCCCATGTATTCAATCAATTGAAAATGTTGATTTCTGGTGGGGAAATTCTGTTGGCTAAACACCCGATGCAGGTGCAAGTAGAGAGAGGACAGAGTGAGAAACAAGGAAGGCAATATCTTCAAAAGACAGAAGAAAAACCATGTTGGGGTTAGAGGAGATGTAGGAGTCCTCATTTTGGTATGCAGACTTGACTTTGCTGTGATTTTAATGAAGCAAAGTCCAGAGCAGCAGAATCAGTGCATGCCCTTCCCTCCTGGTTTGGCATTTGTTTCTGCCCAGGCTCTTCTTCACAGTTCACCTGGCACAACTGTTTGGTCACTTGGTAAAACAGCTTGAGGAGCTGAACTGGGTTTTTAAAAAGCACAACCAACAAAATCTCTGCTATTTTTATCCCTGCAAATACAAACTTCCCAAAGTGCTCGGAACATCCATGTGTAGAAAATGCGAAGCTGCAGTCATCCTGGTCACTTGTTGCTCTTCATTACAGGCATGATATTAGTAGTCCATCTCTAAATTAAATCAAAATATCCTATTTTTAAAAAAAACCAATTTTTTCTCATGGAGGCCCCAAATGTTTGAGGTTTATCTTGCAAAAGTGTCTGTGCATTGCAAGTGCTATTGCACACTGCTGACAAGGCAAACTCTAAACGCAGAGTATCTGAAAGGAATTTAAACCTCTGGACACCATAGAAGTCCCCAGCTTCAACATAAGTCCCCTGCTCACCCCAAGGAGGCTGCAGATAGAGAGTTTGAGTCCAGGAAGCATGCCAAAATCAGCACTGCAGCCAGCTCCAGACAAGGGAAGCTCAAGACACTACGTGTTTTTGGGAAGATGGTCAAAACCAGTCTGACAAGAGCCCAGTCAAGGGGAGCCTGTCTGGGGTTGTGACAATCTCGCTGATGGACTGTTCTCTTGAGAGCTTAACATGTATTTTAGTGGATTTTTCTATCCATTGCACCTAATCATACCCTCCCCTGTTGTCTTTTCATAGCATTTTCACAGCTAGACCAGCAACTTGGTCTGCAGGAAGGTGTCCCTAACCACAGCAGAGGGGTTGGAGCCAGAGGATCTTTAAGGTCCCTTCCAACCCAAACCAATCTGTGATTCTGTGATTCCGTGATTTATGCCTCTCATTCCAGAGTGCATTGCAAAGCAATGAGGTGTTAGAAGTCCAGATCTTCGGCATATTATTTCAACCATGGGAAAATTGCATTGCAACAGTTCAGGCTTGTGGCTCTGAGAGAAAGCAATGGGAAAAACAATGTAAAGGTGGGCTTTCCAGCAGCAGTACTTAGTTAGCAGAGAGAAGGGAGGAAATCAGCAATTAGACAACTGCTTCAGCCCTAGAGGGCAGCACAAAGTAATAAATACAAACTCGAACTCACAAGCCATCTGAAATCATCTTCTGCATGACAGAAGAACGTCTATCAGGGTGGTGTCCTGTTGTGGCTTATAGCCTCAGCTTAATTTGCTGGATCTAAACAGAAATAATTTCCATTTGAGAGCTCTTTCCACATGATGCCCAGTATGAGCATCTGGACTTCATTGGGTGGTCTGGATATCATATAGGCAGCATCTGGAACCACACAAACACATTAAATGCCTTGCATCTTCCTTTTTCCACCAGGCTCAAAGGAATGCAAAGCTACACAGGTAGGTCATAGGCATAGTAGGCTCAGAGACAGGTTAATTTATTGCACTGCTTATGTCCATCTCCATATTAGGTGACAATCAGGTGTCAGCTTTCACATGTATCGACCTCTGTGTTCCGTTTGAAATCTAACCATAATTGCTTTTACCTTCAGAACCATGAAACTGAACATCATCTTCTTGCTGGCAGTGGTGAACACAGGGACCTCTAACTATCATCCCATAGAGGGGACATCCTGTGAAATGGTAAGGAGGGATTCCTACTCAGGCCCCTTGGGATCTGCAGTGAGGCTGGGACACCCTTGTTACAGGCATTGTGCAAAGAGCCAAAGTCTCTGAAAAGGGGAATCCCCCAGGACCAGACTTTCTGTGGAGGCAGAAGTGTGATTTGCAGGCTTAGGGGATGGGGTAGTGGGCACTTCTCAGGCTATGTCCTTTCTGTAGTGACAGCACATAAGAGGGGTGGAGGAGGAGTGAGGTGGGAAGAAGGGTCATTATCTCAGGGACTTTTTTCTAAAGGGGAGCTGGTTCAAAGAAATTTGACCTGATTTCCCTAAGACCATAGAGGGGTTCTGGGTCTGAGACAGAGAAAAGACTTAGACCTAAAATCAACTCCTTTCTATCAGGCCTAAGTTCTTTGTGTTTTAAATAAAGAATTTTCTGTGAACTATATCTATACCAGCCTTTTTGTAATAGCAGGGAGACTGACCTCCTCTGCCCTGACACAGCATTGCTGCCAGGGAAGTTGCACCTGACTTCTGCTGGAGGAAAAAGAAGTGACAAAGCCTCTTGCTCTAATAAAAAATTTTGTCCTTGGATTTTTGCAAGCACCTGGTACAATATTATAAATGTTATTCAGACCCGAACTTTCTCCCTTCCACATCAAAGTGTTTCTGACTGTAACAGGCTTTTAAAAATACCTTTTTTCCCCCTGAAAACTGAAACTTCTTAGCACAGATCTTCAAGAATTTCCAAAATAGGAAAAAAACCCTATCTACTAGCTGTACACAACTCCCTTATGGGACTCGTTGCATTCCTACCCACCTGCTGTGTTGCTGCACTTCCTGAATTCCAAAGAAATTTAAACCTAGTTTATATAGAATGATCTTGGGAAGGCAACTGAGAAGCTCAGTTCATTGGCTGGAGAGGGAAGACTGATGAAGCTTGGGTCCTGTGTAGCACAGTGAAGTGAAGGCTGGGCAAGACACACAATAATCCAAGGAGATTTGTCCCATCCTAGTTTTTGGATGGGTCACAGACCCAACTGACTGCAGAGAAGTAAACACGGGCTGGTTTCCACCACTCCACCGTAAACTGGTTTCATCAAGCCGATGACCCAATGCTCTAAGCAGTTAACTGAGATAAATTTAGCTCTGACAGAAAGCTGCAGCCAATGCTGGGATGCTCATCTCAAATAAACAAACAGCTCAGCATTGCAGATGTCGATGCTGATCATGTTCCTTCACTGGATGTTTGCTCCAATGAAAGGCGTGCGTAAATCCAAACATCATTTAAAGAAAGAGCTACTGGATTAGCTGCTGGGTTCATTGAAGTCCTGCATTACTATTTTTCATCACAATCTCACTGTTTCACATGGTACTTTCCCTTACTGGTGTTCTAAAGGCGACACCTTTAGAACAGCAAGGGCTCAGAAATTAATACTTTCATCCCAAATCTCCTGGAAGAGGCATGAGTCAGAAACTTGTGCCCATCTCTGACTCACCACTAGTGCTCCTGTCATTGAACAAGAACCCGAGAAGAGGTTTTAGGAAGCAAGCAATCCCTACCAGACCTTTGACACTGTTACACTGATTATACAAGTTGTGGCGTATCTACTTGTTTGCAAGACAGTAAGGCACAGCTTAAATGTCAGGAGGTTCTTCCTAACTCATGTTGCCTTCCAAGGACCTGTTATCACAGGTCAGCTGATTTGGGGTACCTGAGCAAACTGTTGAGGTTTGATTCTGTAGCTGAGACTCAACGTGGGCAGCTCTTCTAGGAATCTTCTAGGAATGCACCACACAGGTGCAGGTCAGTGCCAAGTGGCTGCAGCCCAGATTCTTTAGTTCAAATGTTCATGGGTTGACAAAGGAGAATATGAGTGGAGGCTTGGATCCTGCTGCTTTTTTTTGTAGGGCTCTTACAAACATGAATGACAACTTCCTGCCAGTGCTGAGCAGTAAAGAACTGAAACAAGAACCAAATGATGCTCAGCTTTTGAGATGTTGGATCATTTTTTTTGCCAGCAAATAAATGGGACCAGATACTGAGGGGACCAAATGCTCCTCACCCTGCAGTACTTCTTGACAATGGGTTTGAAATAAGCTGAAGGCAGCACTGGCAAAAAAGATGAAATCAGAACATGGGAGTGGCAAAACAATCTTTTCCAGTCTCAGGCTGCCAACTCATTGGGCTAAGAGGTGGGAGGAGGGGAGATACACTCAAGAGATGCTCCATCCTACTGAGACGTGCTTTATCTATTCTTCTTATTCCTGATAAGGTTGAAATTCATGCAGTTTGAGCCTCAGGGGGTTAAAGAAGGTGCAGAAAATAAGAAATATGGTGAGGATCAAAATAGTGAAAAGGAAAGATGGTTTTAAAAGAAATATGGGAGGGGAACTATTATAGGAGCAAATGGCAGACAGGGGGAAGTATAGATTTTATCTGCCCCTTTTATCCCTGGGACAGTTCCATAGATGCAGATTAAAGGCCAAGGCCTCCAAGATACATGGTGATTCCTCCAAGATACATGGTGATCTGGGGCTGACCTCTCACCCACTGAGCAGTGAAAACCAGCTGGCTGGCATTGACTGGAGTTGGGTTGGAACTTTCCTAAGATACTTTCTCCCAGAAGGAGTGAAGGGGACTCTACACTTGTTTAGATTTGGCTCAAAGTGTCTGAAGAAACCTGGCATCTGCCTTAGGCTGCAAAGTACCTGCTACTTTTGCACTCTGGATATTTTTTTATCCTCCAGGCTTCCTTCTCATGCCTTGGAGCTAAGCCCAACTCTAGGCATATTTTAGCTCAAAATGAGCAATTCTACTATGGCTTTGCAGGGAAGAAATAATGTCAGGGAGGAGCCAGAAAATTTCCATCTTTCTCTATCATATTTTTAGTTGGGGGAGATTTAAGTGAATTGGAATGGGGAAAAAAAGGGGATTCAGGTTTTTGTAGTCAATTTACTTGGGATTTTTGGGAAAGATGTATTATAGGAATAATACATTTATGTGGGGCAGTCTGACTATATCTAGAGTTTGGATGAGCACTTGTACTTCTCTGACACATTTTTGCGTGGTTTCCAAAATTTAGATTATGCAAAAGAGATTCACAAAAGACTGACTAGTGCCACAATTCTCCAAAGCAGACGTGCCACTTCAGTCACCTCAAAGTTCACATAAAATAGATGGGTTTTAATATTTTTTACTTTTAATATTTCTTTAATATCTGAAAAACTTTGTGTCATGGAATAGGGAACCTGCTTCTACACAAAAATTAATATTCGATTTTTTCCTTATTTCTTTCCTTTCTGATCTTTCATTGTATGGCCCAAACACACAAATATATTAATGACAAGAACTTTTCTCTGGTAAATTAAATGCTGCCTAAGCCTTTCACATTCCACTTCCTCACACTCCTGTATGTTCTCCTTATTAACAAAATACAGCTTGATATTTATGCAAGGATGCTCTTGTTCATGTTCCCAATCTTCCTTATGAACACACACTCCAAATTTGGCCTGGACATAAACTCAGTCCTAGCTGCAATTAAAAAAGCTTTGCTTCTGGAAGATGGATTTGATTCTTACATTTGTTTTATTTTTCTATCTGCTGCTGAGAATTGGCCTGAAAATGTATGACCCTCACTGCACCTCACAATTTTTTTCTCTCTTAAGTGCTGGCTTTACAGAATTTGTCTTTTCCATGATGTGTCATGTGTGTTTTGTCAGAGCTGTTTCACAAGGCTCTCTCTTCATGCAAGAAGAAGGGGACTGTTACCTTAGCAAAAGGGTAAACATGGGTAGTAAAAGCAGGAAGAGTTTTGAGATTTACATCAGAAATATTGCAGTTGTTGAATAACTCATTGTGGCTAAAGGAGCATTACTAAATTAAGCCATAGCTAAAGGAAAACATGATTGAATATCTGAGGGTGTGACTATGAGGGAGAGAGGGTTTGTGATGTAGGATCCTTATATGTTTTTCCAGCTCCTTGCTTTGGGACTCACTGCCAACAGAGTGAAGCTTTTTCAAGTACTGCTTACTCTTGCAAGTTGAGTTCAAAAAATCTAATGCAGAGATGAAAGTGAGAAAATTAACCATCAGAAGAAAAATGAAGAAATGGTGCTTGATTGCAATGTAAGAAGGGTAAAGTCCTTCACTTGGGACTATTAAAAAGACTCCAGGAGAAAGGTACAAAAAGGAGAGCATTCAGTAGGTATCACACACAGATAAAACACAGATCAACTGTTTAAGTCAGAGATGCCTTTAAAATGAAAAGAGTGCTGTTAGGTGCAGAGAGGTGTTAGGATTGTTGTTCTTTCTGTCTGACTGCTCAGATAAAGTGGTAAGATCAATGTTTCAGGAGGAGGTTCTGCCTGGATCTTGAATGTTATTTTCCTGATATATATAATGCAAAAAATGTCTTAAATCTGTCACGTGACAACCCCTTTTCTCTCTTTTTCTGGCAGGCAAACTCACAGGCATTTTGCCACAACAAAGACCTCCACCAAATCCCTCACGAACTCCATCTGAATGTAAACAAAATAGATCTGTCTGGAAATCTGATTCAGAGCGTCCCTGAAACGCCATTATCATTTTACACTTCCCTCCAGTATCTGGATTTAAGCTTCAACCAGATAAGCTCCATCACGTCTGGAGTGTTTGCACACTTGACGAGTTTGCTGGAAATAAATTTAGCCAATAATCATTTACATGGGCTGGCTCAGAATGGGACAGAGGGGATTGGTCTTTTGCCCAAGGTGGAAATAATGGACTTATCCCACAACAATCTCTACAATGGGATGGCTGAGTATTTCATTAATCAAGCTCCAAGACTGCGGTATCTTTCCTTGGCAGACAACAGTATTGTAATGATATCACACAAGATGTTTCAGGGATGTCCCAGCCTTGTGGAGTTAGATCTTCAGAGAAATATCATCATGGAAATAGAAGAAGGTGCTTTTGAGACTCTAGCAAACCTTTCTAAACTCAATCTCTCCACAAATTCAATTACGTGCATCTCTGATTTCAACCTCAGGCAGTTGGAGATACTTGACCTTAGCAGGAATAGCATTGAGACCTTCAGCATCACAAAGTCAAATGATGAATATAGCTTAAGATCTCTGGATCTTAGTGAAAACAAATTGCTTCACTTCCCAGTCTTCCCTTGGGTAAATAAGCTGGTAACTCTGAATTTATCAAATAATTTAATCCAGCTCACTGCTGAATCCCCTTATAATAAAATGGACTACATGGATAATGAATGGCTAGATGCTTCTTTTCATCTTCTTGATCAGAAGCGAAGTAAAAATATGAGCTCTCTTTATTTATCCCAGCTTGTATATTTAGACTTAAGTTATAATGAAATCAAATCCATTCCAGATGGGTTCTTTGAGGCAATGTTGTCCCTTCACACCCTTAATCTCAGCAAAAACTGTCTTCAGGCATTTGCAGTAAGTTATGACAGTGCATTGATCTCCCTAACTGTGCTTGACTTGAGCTACAATGCTTTGCAGAACCTTCTCCTCGATGCTGGTGCTTTGCCAAATTTGAGGGAGTTTCATATTCAAAACAACAACCTACAGACCCTGCAATTTGACATCTTTTCCAGTCTTCCTAGCCTCAGATTTCTTAACCTACAGAGCAATAATATCAGCCTTTGCCACATGTACTCAGGATTAGCTAAGCAAAGACTTTCTGGGGAGGAATGTGGTTGTGTGTCATTTGTCAATTCTCCTGCTCTCCAGTACTTGTACCTAGCAGACAACATGCTGAACGTCCTACCAGCACACACCTTCTACAAGACTCCACTGCTTGTCTTGGACCTCTCCATGAACCCTGGACTGAAAATAGAACTTAAAGCACTAGCAGGACTGGAAAAGTCTCTGGAATACTTGCATTTACATGGCAATAGCCTGATAGATTTAAATATTGACTTGCCTTGTTTCAGTCACCTTAAACATTTAAACCTCTCCGAAAATCAGCTGAACTGGCTGCCTAAGTGGGGTAGTGGCTCTCCACTGGAAGTTCTAGACCTAAGGAACAATAGGTTCAGTACATTACAGGACAGCAATATTTTAGCATTAGAAAATTCACTTAAAAACTTGTATCTCTCTGGGAACCCACTCAACTGCTGTGGAAACACCTGGCTTTCATCAATGATCCAAAACAAAAATGTCCAGATCCCCAACGTGGAGCACTTAACGTGCCAGTACATTCAGAGCTTCGGGTATGGGGAAGAAATGTACATTGGAAACATTAGACCAGAAGACTGTGAAAAAGAGGATCTGAAGAAAATCAACATCCTCATTATATTAACATTTGTACTAGTTTTATCTGTGATCATCATTGGTGTGGGTTCATTTTTTTGCTTCCGAAGGAAAAACTTTAGCCATCAGTTTAAAGCATAGGAACACAAAATGCCTTGAAAACTGAAGAAATCAGATGCTATCCTGGCACTGTGTAGAAATGAAGGATAAAATTCTCATCTTTGAGTTTTAACTGTGGATTTTAAGATGGTTTTGAAGTGCCCCTGAACTGTCCCACTATAGTGGTCTGGGTTGCAGGGACTGGAAAAGGAAGGGGAATTTGCTCTGTTTTGCACTTGCTTCATTCACATGCAGATCTGCTCAAAAGATTACACGGTGTTAGAAGGCCACTGTAAAGTTCTGCTGGTTTTTTTTGAGGGATGTGTAATTTAAACCAGCTCAAAAGAAAAAGGCCTCTAAGGTCTTGAGACCTGAGACTTTTCATTAAGCTCAGATGATGCCTTCAGCCAATTAGGAAATTCTTTCTCAAAGCTATGTGCCCCCACAAGATGTTTCGATTTGGTCTGAGCTTTGCTTTTACCTAGCTGGTTATCTCCTCACCCTTCTTAAACTGAAATCATACAAAGATATGCCAGAGTAGGTCAAAACACAATTTTCACTCAGTGAAGTTGGTTGCAAATTCCCCTTGAGTTCCAAAACAATGAGAATTTAGCTAAAAACAAAACAAAACAAACCCAAATGGAAATTATAAGTAGTGTCCCTTGTGCTCCTGCCTACCATTTAGACAGCTGACCATGGAAACCATGGAAACCATGGTAGGAACCTCTTTGGATATCTCATTTTATTTATTAGGTTGCTGCTCCAGTCATTGGGGCAAGACATGAGAGGAAGATGAGGTCGATTAGTTCTGGCATTTAGTACCCATGAGGGATATAAAAGAAATCTCTAGCATGAAACAACTGTTGATGTGTTATCCAGATCTGCTCAGAAGGTCACAGGTCCACAGTTTAACTAAAAGAGGAGAAATTTGCTTCTCATGTGCAATACATATTTAACTGGGTATAATGTGAAGAAATTAATCTCTGGGGTGAATACTTTGCAAAAGAAAAATCTTGGAGAATGAATTTCAACCAGCTAGAATTGGACTGAAATACTTACATTTCTAAGGAAGAGTGTAAGGAAATTCACAGCGTACAGCTGCATTCCAATACAGAAGAATAATATATCTATTTTTAAAGGTCATGAAAGGTTAGACTGCAAAAAGATACCGTTGTGAGATGATACACAGGAAATCTAGTCCTGTGCCATTATTCAGATCAGAGGTTCACTGTGTCACCCTAAAAATAGATTATAGTCTAGAGGATGGGCTGTAAGAAAAGTTATGTAGATCCTCATTCTGTGATGAGTCTAACACAGCTAACATGCTGCATTGCTAAAAGTTGACACTGACATATACTTTGTTCTGTACCCCGACAGAAAATTCACCCTTTATAAAGTGAAGAAAAGGTCACCAACAGTTGGAGCCTGACCTGCTAATGGGGTGCAATGGCTTCAAAAGTAACTATATCAGGTCTTCTGTTAATGTCACAAACTGTACAGTAAGGCATACAGAAATAGAGGTCAAATCAAAACCTGTCCAGGTGAATAACTCAAATTGCTGCTTCATTTCTGTTTCTTCAAGCTAGTGAATGTAAAAATTAACACACTACAAAAAGGTGTATAATTCTATTTTTAAAGCAGCTATGTGGGAAACTGACTGGTAGATTTCACTGTGGAATTTTATATAATAAAAAAACATATTTGAATTTTGTAAAAAGCACAGGGTTGTGAATATATTAAATCACCAGTTTGAAATGCTCCACAGATGAAAAGAAAAGCCTTCCTCTTTTTCCTGTGGTGTTCAGACTCCACCTTAGATCTTCACCTTCTGGTCCTGAAGAAGAGACAGCTGTTCCATATCTTTGAGTGCAACCAATGGAGAGCAAGAAGATCTACTGAAGATGTAGGCAAAAATTTGGAATAGGTTTTCCAGAGAACTTGTGGATGACCCATCCCTGGAAATGCCCATGGACAGGTTGGATGGTGCTTTGAGCAACCTGGTCTAGCAGAAGGTGTCTGTCCCCATGGCAACAGGGTTGGAACTGGATGGTCTTGCGAATCCTTTCCAACCCAAACCATTCTGTGACTGTCATTCTACAAATTTGCACAAACCCTCAGCAGCAATGAGGCCTGATTTAACATCTACAAAAGCCCACACTTGAGCCAAGCATCAGCTCAAGCCTTTATTCAAGTGGGGAAATAAAGTCTAGTCTTTAGTCTCTAGTCTAGTAGATTGCACAAGCAGCAATCCCAGGAACTAGTTGGAAGTCCAATGCTGAAGTTGCTGAGCTTTTCCCTTGGTGTGAAGGCAAGCTGAGCTGTGTGCCCAGACACAGATTAATCTGCCCACACTGAGTTAATGGCTTTTGTGTCAAGCATGACAATCTCCTTCTCAGAGCCAGTATTAACTTGACTAGCATGACTGGAATTAGTTAATAACCTGATGACAGACTCAAACCCAATTGATTAATAGTTTTCACACAGCTTTTGTTTGGCTCTCCCAAAAGGAAGTCCTTGTTATTACTAAACATCTGGCACTAATTAGATTTCCGTTGACTTCCCTAGGAGCAAAAACAGTTTTCTCAAGAATAAGCCTCAGGACTAAAATGCAACATGGCTTGTTTGGATTTTTATGTTAAAAGTACAATCAACCAAGAAGTGACATGACCCTGATCCAGTCAATTCTATTATTCTGGATGGGATGAGGAGCAAAAGGAGAAAAAAAAAATCGTTAATAAAATAGCAGAGAGGAAAAACAGGGAGAAACGTGAGCCCTGCATTATATTATGCATCAAAATAGGGGGTTTGTAGCTGGCAGCCCCAGCTCTTGCCTCTTCTGTCTGTTACTGTCTTCAAGAAGCTCAAATACCAAATGATGATCTTGCATCAAATGTAGATGTTACTCGCACATTACACATCTTCCCACCAGTCAGCTCCATTTTCCTAATAGGTTGGAGGCATGGTTTAATAAAGAAGAAAATTAACCCTTTCCCAGCTGACACCAGGAAAGTTGGCATCATACATACTGTTTTAACTGGAATTTTGCAAGCAAGAATTTACACACTCATTTACTGCTTTTTCATAAAGTCCTTGCAACAAGCTTGCAACCAGGTCTTGAACACTTACAGGAATGGGGCAACCTGTTCCAGTGTTTCACCACCCTCTGAGTAAAGAATTTCTACATAACATCTAGTCTAAACGAGCTTGGTGTCAGGTAGATAAAAGTACTCTAAACATTAGGAGTGCTAGAAAAACTAGAAACAGAAAGAGACCCTAAATGCTCAGCAAGTCATGACTCAGGTTAGCCATCCATGGAAAATAAGTTTCAGTTTCCAGAAGCATTGGGGCTTTTTTATCCAAAGTACCCTCTTTTTTTCTGCAAATTACTCTGTATCCTAACAGAGTACCAGGCCTCTATCTGCAAACTTCCCTGCAGGGGCTCTACTCAGCCCTAAACTAGCCACAGTAGGTTAGAATACAACACAGTAATGCCTCCTAATATTTTGGGAGCCCAAAGCATTTGCTTTCCTATTCCATCTAATCCCCATGTCATTCAATACCCTCTTACTTTCCTGGGGAGAAAAAAACCGACACAAAACTTGGATCCCCTGTATCTCCATGAGAAAGAAGAAAGGTGTCCTCTAGCCATATTAGTTTCCATAAACAATTACCTATTCTCTTTGTGCACATATGTGCAAAGGCACAGACACACAAGGCTAGATTCAGAAATAGATCATTTCAGGACTAGCCTTGCTTAACTTAAATTAGAACAGCCTGTGCTAAACAATCATCTGTACTAACAAATAGCCTGTGGTGTTGCTGTTTGTGGATTCCTATTTCATGTGAAATAGTTTGATCAAGATTTTGAAAAGTGATCATTGATTCATTTCAGACACCTTAATTTGCAGCCTGCATCCTGCCAACCCTGAAACAAGTCACATTTTCCTGAAAATTGTGTTCCATTTCCTCTCAAAACCAAGGCTCTGTGGTATGTCCTATACAAGCCCCAGGAAAAAAAACATTAGATTGTCCAGATGTATATACAATTATTTCACTCAGAGCTTTCTAATGATAGGTTCTGCTCTGCCAGAGTTGTTTGGAGCATCTGAAGATCTGAAAAACAGCAATGTCAACATCTCCTCTGCCCTGTAGTCTGCCCTCAGAAGGACTATGTTAACTCTCACTCTCATCCTCAGCTATTGTGGGTAAATTTGAGTGAAAAAAGGAAAAACAGACACAAGAAAAGAGTAAAAATCAAGTGTAGTCTTCAGCTTCCTGTCAATGCTGCAACTATGCAGCCAGAGCAGATTTTGGTCCCACGGGTCCTGGATTGGTGAGGGTCCAAATAGATTTTTCCAAGAAAAAAGAGGAATGAGAGGAGTTTAGAGCCATGAAAGTGCTCAGAGTGAGTAATGGGAAAAGGAGAAAACAAAGTGCAGGTGTAATTCCCTCTGAGAAGCGAAGAAATGAAAATACTTTAGAGGAACAGGCAGTGGTAGGTACTTGCCCACATCTCCCCAAGAGTTTAAAGAAGATCTGTGAAGCTTCACCCAATCTCTTGTAGAGGAAAGGTGAGAAGAGAGCCTAGGAGACAGATAATGGAAGAGAAATAAAGGATGATAGAAGAAGTGAAATATGGAGGGGAAATGAAGTAGAGAAGAGAGTTTGAGTACAATTCATGTCTTCATGAAGGGGAATGGAGAAGTGTAACTGGAAACTGAAGAGCATCAAATAGAAAGGGTTAAAAAAACCTTTGCAAAGAGGCAGTCAGAGATGAGCTGTGCAGAGCAGGAGGAGACACAGGTACCTTGGTTAGACAACATGCTGGCTACTTACAAGTGTGTGGTGCATGAAAACAGAGGAGATCATCAGTTCATGCAGGGTGGCCTGAAGTGTAAAGTAATCAGGGAAATAGGATAAAGCTGAAATAGGAGGAAAAAGAGACAGAAGAATTTTCTGAGGAGGGCCTGCCAGACTGTGTAACACTCTTTCAAAAGGAAAGACATTTGGAGGCTGATGCAACATGATACTAACGAAAGTTTTGGCAAAAATGAGGGAACAGTCTTGCAACACTGGGAGAGTCACTTTTCTCCCAAGCTGTTGTTCATGGCAGTTCTGCTGCATTGCAGAGCCAAGCTGGTTTCCCAGATTTCCTCCTTCTGTCCATGTCTAACAGTCATTCCACCAAAGACACGTTTGGGAGACACATGGGATGCTTTATTGTAGCCTTTCAATACTTAGAAACATAAAAAAAAGAGAGCATCTTTTTAAATGGGCTTTTTAAACAGGACATGGAGGAAGAGTTTGAAACTAAAAGAGGGGAGATTTGGATTAGATATGAGGAAGAAATTCTTTACTGTGAGGGGGGTGAGGTACTGGCACAAGCTGCCAAGAAACTGTAGATGCCCCATCCATGAGAACCAGATTGTAAAGGACTTTGAGCAAACTGGTCCTAGTGGGTGGCATCCCTGCCTGTG